CCTCGTTCTTGAATCCCAAATCATCGTTCTTCCTCAGAGACTGAAGAAACCCCTCCCCAACATTAACATCGTTGTAGAGGTCCTCGTATTCATCTTCATCTTCCCCTAAGAAACCCTCATCAGCAACTGCAGAAATCGCCTCGTTCCGATGAAACTGATCTATCTGATCCACACCCTCACCAAACCCTCCCTCACCTTCATCCATCTCTACGGGCTTTCGCAATTCATTCAAAAGTTTAATTCTTCAGAAATTAAAAGCAAGTAACATCACGAAGTCGATTTAAGAACTTACAAGCAAAAGCAGATAGTGATCAACGATCGCTCGCACTCCAATTATGGAACTGCAAGAGAGAGAGAGAGAAACCCTAATCTGGAAAACGCGCGTGAATATCCTGGAATTTTAGTTTCTTCAACTTCAGAGCTAACTTGCGCTGGGTTAACTGTCAATTTTATGCTTTCATTTTGATGAACAGTCCAAAACTCATACTATTTTTTAATGACAATTAAAATTAAGTTAGGTATAACTTTGTAGTAAAAAAAATATTTTTTTTTGACTAACTTTTTTTAATTAGATTAATTTTTTATTTATAAATATTAGATTCCAAGTTTAGTCGGGTTTGCATTGAATAAGTTTATGAACTTTTAAAAGATGTCTAACACATTCAAAAACCTTCAATTTTGTATCTAATAATACATGTGATTGAATTTGCATGAGTGTCTAACACATCTCTAAACTAATTTTATGTCCGAAAGGTTTTTGAATTTTGAATTTTGTATTTAATTAGTCATGATCTAATTGAAATTTTTTAAAACTCATGGACTTGTTATGCATAAAATTGAAAGTTGAAGGTTCTATTAAACATTTTTAAAGTTCAAAGACTTAATTAGACAAAAATCTTGAAAGTTTAGAAATCAATTATACTGGATACAAACTTATAATTTAAGTTAAAAAAAAACGAAGTATATACAATAGTCCCCCAATCTTTATGGGTTTTCTCAATTTAGTCCTTAATTTTTTAAAATCCTTAATTTACCCTTAATATAATAAAAATTCTCAAGTAGGTCATTACGTAAAAAAAATGTTATTAACATAAAAATAATGTGTTATTAAATATTTATTGTTTTATTAACATATTAAGACAATGACAAGAAAACTTTTAGTACAACACGTGGGGAACAAATGAACTAAACTTGATTGATTTGTATAATTAACTTTGTCAGTAGTATTATTATCACATGAAAAAGCTGATTCAACCAAATTCAAGCGTTTTGTGGCATAATTATTAAACTAACATAATTAACAAAACGACCTATTAGGGAACCAAATAGACAAATATTAGAAAAGAACGAAAATGGACAAGGTGATTAATAGAGATAACATATTTGAAACCGTGCACAATTTGTCTTGATATGTTAAATTATGAATGCACTCCTAACCCATCAAATATAATATTAAAACTTTTTTACCCCGTATAAATGTACTCGATGTCGAGCCATGTTCAAATTAGCAATACAATATTAAACTAGATATAAGATAAACACACCAACTTGTGACACTATTGATAGATTCTACCGTATTAACATTACAAAATCCACTCTTGAAGTACTAATTAGAGGAATCTCATACATTCAAAGATCGCCACTTCTCTTGACCCAAACAAAAAACACTAAAATTCTCGACGTGCTTAATTCCATCTCTCAACATGATTAATTGCATCTCTATCATCTCGATCAGACCTAATTCGAACTTAATCTCATCTACATCTTTTATCTACATCCTTTTTGTTAATACAGATCTCCTTGATCACTCCTAATACAAACTTCTCAGTTCTCTATATTTAGAGATGATTCCTCAATGCCTGTGATACAATATGATAGTACATGCATCAATTTGCATACTTCCATCTACAAAGTTGCTCTACATAAGATAATCATGGACTAGTTGCTATTAGGATGAACAATTTCCATGAAGAATGGGAGAAACCTGTCCAAAATATGTCCAAAGTCCAAAATAACAAGCAGCTATAAAACAGTTTCCATGATGGAATATGCATCAATTTGCATACTTCTTCCATCTACAAAGTTTCTCTATATAAGATAATCATAGACTAGTTGCTATTAGGATGAACAATTTCCATGAAGAATGGGTGAAACCTGTCCAAAATATGTCCAAAGTCCAAAATAACAAGCAGCTATAATACAGTTTTCCATGAACAGATATCCATAACTAAATCTACTCAATTGATAACATAACAGGTACATACAAGTATTGTGTACATACAACCTCTGAAACTACATCTAGTCAATACATACAAGTATTGAGTACATACAGCCTTGTGAAGAGCTACATCTAGTCAATTGGTAACAGGTACATACAAGTATCGAGTAAATACAACCTTCAGCTCTAAAAGAATGGTTAGCTCTACATCTTCACAACAGAATCGGCTACAGTGTGGTATAA